TCTTTCTCTAATGGACTGTTAAATCAAGCCTTACTTCTTACCAATAAGTATGGATGATTCAAATGCTTCATTTCCTTGTTCCTAATACAACCAACCCCAGTTAGAGAACATCAGAAGACAGTTGTTACTACACTATTACAATTGTAGGGTCTGGCCATTTTTAAAGCTTTTCTTAATCCTGGTGCAACATGGGTGTAGTGTGCTTATCCTTATGCAAGTATACCTTTGCTTGTTTAGTGTCATTTGGCATCTATGACACATCTGTAAAGTAGGATTAGCTTGTACCTTAGGTAATTGAAATATGAAAGATGAACAATATTCTAAAGTTTCTATAAGAATATTAACAAATATAATCACAAAAACTTTTAGATAGGTTTTAATTTCTTCTACTAATTGAAGTTTGTTATCCTAAGATCTGTTCGAAGACTCGTTGCTCCTGCCCCCAGAAAAAAAGGCACATTGACCTCAAGAGACCTCACCGGCAAGAGCTGTGTGGCCGCTGCAAAGGCAAAAGATTATCCTGTGACAACACCTACAGCTTCAAATACATTGTTTGATCTGTACAGTTTGTGTGCTGAGGTTGCATTTAGCACTATGCACTTTGTTTCATAATGTGGATTTGACTTTAGGATTCTGACCTGGCAATGGATAATGGACTAAAGATGTTTGCAATGCTAAGATATATTTGTAATTTATCACTGTACTGCTTAATTAATAAAACTTAAATTCTAATTAAATTGTAGTTCCCCTTGATCATCAAAAAGAGACAGAAAAGCTGACATTGTAACTAGAAAAAGGTAGAAAACTTAGAGGGATTTTTACATACCAGGTTAAATCTTATGAACAATGTAATCTTCCTGCCATCTTTTTATAGAAACAGTGGTACGTTTTCAGAATTCTGGCTATAACTGGACTTACTGTAGTTTGACAACTTAAAGATTGAGCAGTATACTTACATATCTACTATGGCGTTCTATAAAGACGTGTGAAAAGATGTCTTAAATCACTGAAGGAAAATAGAATACCCTTGTAATAGATTTGCACGATAGAGATAACAATCATTAAATGGAATAAAAAGCACAGTAGTCTACCTGTGTAATCAGATAGGCTGCCTCGTGCTGAAATTAAACAGGAGCAAATACTTGAGCATCATAATGGAGATGTTTACTTAGGTATTTTGTATTAATAATATGAAACAATTTCAGATTTCTAAATTAATATGCAAACTAAAATATACTACTTTTAGTACTATTCTATTTAGTACTACTATGAGTACTATTCTGTGGCATAGTACTCATCAGAAACAAGTATGTTTGGAAACTAGTTACATGAAATGCACTTTTGTCCTAGGAGGAAAATTACTTGCAAAACTGATTTGGGAAAATGACTAATTAGGCATCTATTAAAAGAAATGCAGATTGGAAAAATTTGATAAGATTTGGCCAGCTCTACATAAGCAATGGAGATTTTCATATTTATTTTGTATACTAATGCAAAAACGTAACCTGAGTAGTTGCATGTGAAATGAGATTTGTCCCCTTTTCTATTGCATTGTAGCAAGGAGATGTGGAAATGTGGAATGGTTACATGAAGTTTCCATCTTATATCCAGTGTTATTCAGATGGTAAAAATAAATAGTAGCAGATGCTTAAAAAAATAAAAATACAGAGAACAACACATGTACTGAAGTTGCAAACACAGTTCAATGCATGCGTGGTTATGATAGTTTAGATATATGTACATAGGCATAGGTTGACATTTCATTTCAGAAAAGCGATCATGGTATTGATTTAAACCTGTACTTTACAGGAGCTGGTAAGTAGAACAATGAAGAAACAACATGAACTTCACCTGTTCAATTATATTAGATTTACTAACACTCAGAAACATTTGTTAATGTCTTACAAAGCATTCCTCTAAAGAGAATAGTGAGTAGGGCAGCACTCAAGTCACACAGTGAAAGAGGCACTTCATGTTAGCTTTCATGAGGGTTAACTGACACGGACTTGCCACACAAGATTATAAGCAATAAAAATAATTTTATACCCCAATAATATTCCCCAAATTCATACAATTATGGTAGTAGGCCTTAATCACTAAGTATAAAGTTGTCTCTTTTCCTAGTCAATAAAAGAAAAGAAACCAAGCTATATACCTAGCAAATGACATGTTGATTTTATAGTCTGAATGAGTAGATGTGTTATTTTAATTCCTGTTTGAATCACTTTTAGGAAACTAAATTTTAAATTGGCTTCTATAATAAAGGTGGCACAATCCAGCAGGAAGAGCTTCACACCTATAGAGCCCATCTGCTCAGTCGTGGTGTTACAGAATAAGTACACTTACATTTTGCATAACATATGTATTTCTTACAAGTTGATTTTTCCATTACAATTCGAACTAATACCTTGCTTCTCATATATGTTCAAATTACTGTTTTGAGGAAGGGGGAATAGAGAAGCCTATCAATTTTCCATATATTTGCAAAAGCCCTTCCCAACCTAGTTCCTTCTCCACTTCTTCGGACAGTAAGTCCCAGAATTCCAGTATATTCTCTAGTTAGGAATTCTGGTATTTGTGGTCCCAACATATCTGGAGGATGCCAGATTGACAAAGCTTAGCTAGAGATAACTGTTTGAGAAAGAATACATTAAATTTAAGGGGTTTTGTTCAAATATTAATATCAATTTGTGCAGGTTAATGTCTGAATGCATAGTGAGCACATAAAAGTTGGACTAACTTACATGTTGATTCAAGTCCAGCTGAAAAAGAACCTGATTTCAAAATATCCTTAAATAATTGTTTCCATATATCTTATAGCATAAACTCATTACAATTTAGTACATTTACAAGCTAATGTTTGAAGTATATATACTTTATATGTTTGTGTGTGTGTATGTGTATATATAGATATAGATATAGATATTATGACTTTTATAGTTGAGATCTATAATGATCAAAATATTAACCAAAAGATACTTCACAAAAACCTTTAAATGTATTTACAGGGTGAATAAGCGATACACACTATGTTGGAATAAAAGTGTCTCAAAGGTGCAAATAACTTACATGCACTTATTTAAACTCTTGACAGCAGTAAGTGCAAAAGAAAAATTGTCAGAAAACAGGAACATATATTACTAAAAAGCAACCCCCCCACTTGAAAATAGAACGTAAATCTGAACTTAATAATTTCAGTGTTAAAATCCAAATGTATATTAAAATTAAAAGAAGCATGTGAATAGTTCAAAAGAATTTAAACCAGATGTGATGTTTTTTCTACAAAATGATAACTTATGCCAGACCAGCATTCTTAATATAAATATACATAAAAGCAACTCTCTAGTAAAAAGCAGCCAAAATCTTTTTTTTAAAAAAATCATCTTTGTCCATTCATAGGTACTTGGGTCTTAATAACAGACCTTTTGAAATAGGATTTAGTACCTTCCAAGACAGTAGCCTAGTAACATCAACAAATGTACTTCATAGCAGCTTTTTTCTTTTTTTCAGAAGATACAATAATCATATTTAAATTACAGTGCACATTTGTAGTCCTGTACAATAACTTTCATATGCAGAGGCTCTCAGCTTTCGCAGTGACAGTCTTTCAAGATCCTGTCGCTAGCTTCATTCTGCCTATTTTTAATAACTTGGTCAAAGGATTAAATGTACAAAATTAAAAAAAAAATCCTCAAGTGAAGGAGAGATTGCACTTTGATATCTAAAACTATTTTCTAGAAAGGAAGTCTTGCTCAGTGTAGTAGTCTTTGGTATGTAAGGAAGTCACTTCAGTAGTGAATTGCAGTTGCCCTGTGAAATTCGTTTTGGTGTGTAGTTCAGAACAAAGGATTTGCCCTCCTTATATTATTACTACACACTGAAAACACTGCCCAACTTTTCTTGGAAAATATTGTAAAAGTAACAGGATTGATTATGACTTGACCAGCTCTTTCTAAAGCTGAAAATGCACTGAACCATCTCATCCCAGCATGGAAGCAATCCCAACCTGAAAGAAATAGGGGGCACAAGACTTTTGTCAGAGACTCGTGCCAGAAACACTGGAATCTGGAAGAAAAGAATTGATAACTCGGTAGGTTTGAGCTCGCCGGATCATGTCCCGGATTTCTATGTTCAACTCCATCAGTTTAGTACAGATTTCGGTCAGGCTTTGGTTAGAGCCCACCAGTGCATAAGTGCCAGACTGCCCTAGTGTTTGGTGTCGGAAGTAAATATTCAGTAGAGTCTGGACCTCATCATCAGAACTGCTTCCAAAAATGTCATTCGGCCATAAATTCCTGCAATGAAACAAAAGTACAGGGTATGCTACTGAAATGCTATTTAATGCAAATGAAATCCCATTTCTTTCCTTCTGTGGCTATACATGTAAAAAGGTAAAAAATCGGTGTGGTTGTGACAAAAAGAAGGGAAAAACCTTCAGGTGCAAAGGCATTTATTACATTATACAGTTGCAATGCAATGCATCGCTTCTATTGGCAATGCATTTAAGAAAGATACTTCTTTAAAGTCTCTTTTTTTTGAAAGAAGAGGAGAAAGCCTTATCAGCCAATAAAGTAACTTTAAAACTTCTGGCTTTTTGTATAAAGTAGGATTTCTTTCTTACTTAGCTGAACCCATTGGGCTTTACAAGATAATACCTCTGACAAAGCATGTTTTTTTGCTTTCTGATGCTATCTCATTCCACTCAGACACACCTTTCCCTGTAGTTGTATAGCAACTTTTGTTTATATTTGCACTAAAAGTAAATAATCTCTTCACAATCTGTACCTACCTATACCTGGGAGTTATTATCCCTATAAAACCACAACTGATGGTTTGGATGTAGAGATAATCTATATCCATTTTCTACCAGAGCTTTTTTTACTGGGACTTGTGGACAATCAATTAGAAACATTTACAGAAAATTGATTTTATATATGGTAACTGCAGCAATATTACTACATGCACAATGATGGAGAAGCACTGAAATACCCACAATGGAGGAATGGATCGTAAATATGGCAGAATTAGCAGAAATGGCAAAACTGACCTGCCTGCTCAGGAATAAAACAATACAGGTAGTCCTTGGTTAATGACCACTCATTCAGCAACCGTTGAGTTACGATGGCACTGAATGAGTGGTACTTACAACCAGTCCTCAAAGTTCCAGCTGTCCCAGCACCCCACAGTCGTGTGATTACGATCCAGACCCTTGGAAACTGGCTTGTACTTATGACGGTTGCAGCATCCCATGTCATGTGATCACCATTTGTTACCTTCCCTGCCAGCTTCCCACAAGCAAAGTCAATGGGGAAGCTGGCAGGGAAGGTTGCAAGTCACTCTGGTAAGCCGCTCGCACTCCCATGGCTTTTTCCCTTGAGTCCGGCTACAGTGCCTGCAGCACCCCCCCCGCCACCTACAGCAGCCACCTGAGCACCCATCCCACCCAGCAGCAGTCACCCCCGGCCCGGCCCTGCCAGCCACCTGTGCACCCTTGCACACCCTCCTCCACCTGGCAGCAGCCACTTTCTTGCCTGCCAGCCTGCTTACGAGCTGCCTGGGACTTGCAACTTCCTGCCAGTTTCTCCATTGACTTTGCTTGTTGCAAGCAGGCAAGAAGTTGTGAGGAGGTCCTCATTAAGTGAGGAGCCGCAACTTTGCTTAATGATGGCAACTGTGAGTGCCAGGATTGCTGTCGCTAAGCAATGTGGTCATGTGACATTGCGCTTTACAAC